ATAGTTGCGCTGCAATATATATAGGCCTATATAGATCTGTGCGTTAATATTTTATATTTTTCAATTTAAAAAAAAAATCACTTCCGCCTTTGTTCTTTTACTCACATCAAGGAATATTCATACATTTTCAAAAGTGTAAAAATATGAAACTTAACATTAAAATTACAATTAAAATTAAGATATGAAACTGAAGAGCTCACAAAAATGATACAATTATGCCGTTGTTCAAACACGTAGATTGTGCTGATCGGTAATTTGCGCGGAACAGACACGACATGATACGTCCGATCTTCTGCAAATTAAATAAAGGCAACGTTGGAACACATACTATTTTGAATCTCATACCCCGTAGTAACACGAATTTGCATTTTCTATAGTAAGCAAGTTGCCTGCCTTTTCAAGTTTCATATAAAGGAGTAAGAATAATAACTGAAAAAAAAACCCAGTATGAATAAGGAAGAATAACCTTCTTTTTTAAAGTTCCTCTTAACAGCGCGTCTTTAAACCGTGTCGAATTATATATCAAAATGCGGGCCCTCATTGAGGTTTTGTATAACGCGTCCCTGGCACGATGTATGCTTTATAGAACGAAGGTATCATGATGCGCCACTTCAGAACAGCGCGGGGAGAGAGTGAAGCCAGAGAGCCTAGGAGACAAGAAAACCTAGACTGATTTATATGAAAAAAGAGAAGCACATAGACCCATAAATTGTCATTTTGAAGTGGGGAAAACGTAAGACAGACAGATAGAAACAACAGTGGGAAAGCAAAAAAAGTAGGTACTACCAGTGGCGCCCTTCAATCACCAGTTAACCTAGAGCGAGGGCGAGAGGACCTTAGACTCTTTTGAGGATCTAAAAGAATAATAATTAAACTGTAGATGATGTTTGTAGATGATGATCGGTAGCCTAGTGGTTAGGCTACCGGACTCGTAATTGTGAGATTGCGAGTTCGGGGGTTCGAGCTTAAGCTCGGTCCGACGTTGTGTCCTTTGGAAAGGCACTTTACACGAACTTTCCACTTGGCTCGGTCCTATCGGAGACGGACGTTAAACTAGGAGACCCCGCCACTTAAATAACCTAATAGTGTTGATAGGGGCGTTAAACCTGTACCATTTCACAGTTTAGATAATTAAGGAGGTGGATTGCTTTGAGTGTGCCTGTCTGTCAGGGCCAAGGAGCCGAGAGGAATAAAACCTTTAAGCAAGCAGAGGGAGATGCATGTTTAGGGAAAAACAAACAAACAAATAAAAATCCATACTGCACACAGGAATCGAACTCACATCACGTCGTCGTCTGTTGATGCCAACGACAAGGTGACTAACCGCTGCTACACCACGGTTCGTATTCGAGCACCAAATAAACACGTGTAATCATAGTTAGCAACACACACACACA